ATAGATCAGCCCTGTCCTGTCACTGGGTCCCTATAGATCAGCCCTGTCCTGTCACTGGGTCCCCATAGATCAGCCCTGTCCTGTCACTGGGCCCCCCATAGATCAGCCCTGTCCTGTCACTGGGTCCCTATAGATCAGGCCTGTCCTGTTACTGAGTCCCCCATTGAACTCCCCTACACGCCCCGCCCTCCCTGTCAATCAAACACCCACCGCACAGCCGCGCCCCTACCACCTCCTCCCTGCCACGATACGCTCTCAGTGCCCGCCCCTTCAGCTCCGTCCCGCCACTCACAGCGCGGTGGGCGTGTCCCCGCACACGAGTGTGTTTGTAGGGTGACCCAGTCCCAGGTCTCAGTGGTGGAAGTTCGGGCAGGAAGTGCGGAGTCACCCGTGTATGGTGGCATTCCCCGGGGACAGGGCACCGAATACCGGGAGGTAACGAGGCCGATTTGTTTAGAACTCTGAGCTGAGGAGTGATGACTGGTGTATGGGGACGGGTACAATGTAAACTTTCCTCCTGAGTGTGGTACAATGTATACAAAGTGTATGATCGGTGCTGTGTGTATTGATTGTTGTTTATAAAGTGTAGAGTGGATACAATGTATATAAATTGTATGATCAGTGCTGTGTATGTTGTGTGTAGCTTTGTCCAGGGTCAGGAACTCTCTCTGTGTTCATGAATGGCAGATTCCAATTACCCCCCCTCCCCATGTGTTGTCTGTTGTCAGGATGATTTGCTGGGGAATGAGCCGGGAGGATGAATCTCAAACTCCAGACTGACAGCTAAAATACATACAAGGGAGCTGTGTTAAGGCTTCATAGGTCTGTCCATCCAGTTCTGAGATTTAAACAGCGCTACCCAACAGCACACAGACCGCTGCCACCCCTAGATCTGTACCTGATCCCTAAAATCTCATGACCCTCCTTGTCCAGGCACTTCCTGTTATAGGGTGACAACTCTCTGTCCTTGTTCAGGCACTTCCTTTCTGACAGGGTAATAATGCTCTGTCCTTGTTCAGGCGCTTTCTGTTATAGGGTGACAATGCTCTCTCCCTGTCTTCCAGTTGTACTCCTGCGTTGTCACCCTGTCACATGGGCTTCCAATGGAGTCAAATTCAGCACCCATTACACAGACATGGTCTACTGTTGTCACTAGCGATGCACTGATACTGTTTTTTTTGGTATCGAGTACAAGTACTGATATTTATCTTTCGGTACTCGCCGATACCGGTACTTCCCCTAGCATGGAGCCGGCTTCCTGATCATTGGCTGACCACAGGGGATTGCACACATGGGGGATATTGAATAACAGGGTGGTGACCGTTCTGCTTCCTTCTCCTCGGCGCTCTGTCTAAATCTCCCCGATTATCAGCACCAGAGCAGCCCTGCACCACCGGCGCCGGGTCCACGCTCGGTCATTTGTATCTACAGCAGACAACACGCAAAGCTCTGTATCCAATCCAAGTCATACAAAGTTCCCGAGTCATGTTCGGCTTCTATGTCAGACGTTCATGTTGTGAAATCTTCTAGAACGGCAACATTGTATCTCCCGCCAGAGTGCCAAGTACTTGTAGATGTGACCCCCAAAACCATCTGACACCCCGAACTCACCCAAATACCCCCGACCCCACACTAAGTGTGAGGTGAGAGGACCCCCAGTGATGTCACTTCTGGTTCATCTGATGCACCCGCTACAGATTAGAATGCTCCCTCCAGAAGGAAACCGCACCCCCTCTTTGTGTACCCCAATCAGTCAGCCAACCGGTCTCTGCATGCGTGTACCAGCGTCAGACAGTCCATGGATCTGCCAGTTTTATAGAAGCCTGATCTTCCCGGGAGATTAATAGTTGTCCAAGGAGCCTGCCCAGGAGGCAAGGAGCCTGCCCAGGAGGCAAGGAGGCTACCCAAGAGGCAAGGAGCCTGCCCAGGAGTCAAGGAGCCTGCCCAGGAGTCAAGGAGCCTGCCCAGGAGTCAAGGAGCCTGCCCAGGAGGCAAGGAG